TCTTCCGAAACAGAGCCTTTTTGGAGATTTCGGAAAAGCGAAGGTTTATATGTGGTGCTTTTCGTGATATCTTTATGAGGCGCTAGTAGGCCCAAAGCGCCCGCAAGGGACAAGGAGTCTGTTTTTGTGCTTTTGTATTTATTGAAGATGAGCCTCATATGGCCCTGCCTAGCCAAGGATCCCCTGCTCATTTTTTTTGTTGGAGTTTGAAGGGCAGTAGAGATGAGAAGAGGATGGCCAAACGGATGGAGCAGGATCGTCTTGCTATGCCCTGTTTTTGCAGTGAACGTCAAAGCTCAACAGAATAGGTCCTTATTATATAGAATGATTTGTCAATAAAATGCTGATTAATGCTTGGTGCGTGGAGAAAGAAGTATGTATTGGGAGGTTGAGGATGCGTGACTATGTGGCCTCTCGCACGAGTCACGTGCCCGCATTGATGGCCAAGTAATTGGGCCGCGCACGCCTTGTAAATCGATTATGCAGGTTCCAAGGCAAAAGAGATCGCATTGGGGCGGAATGTTGGGCGGAAAATCTAGTAAGCTCAGATCCAGGAATAGTCATCATGGGCAAGGCCTTAAGAAGACCCAAATTCAACAAGCAATATCTGAGACGTAGTAAGCCTGATAGCGGCCGCGCATTTGCAATTGCAACATACTGCAAAAATCATGGCCATCAGACAATATTGCTGCGGAATGACTGAGCCTCTCTATTTTTTTCGGTGCAACATTTTACGATAGCATTTAAATTCTGGCTCTTGAGAACTTCAGTAAATGACAAACGTTACAATTTGCGGTATGAATACGGGGCATCAGCTAGCTCATGGATTTACGTGATATGCGTGAACTTCGTAATATGCGTGGACTTCGTAATATGCGTGAACTTAGTAATATACGAGTGCTTCGAGAACTCGTTTATGCTCAAGTTCAAGCAAAATCATCAGTTCAGTAATATGTGTCATACTTTACTTAGAAGCGACAAAGAAGGTTTGGCTACAATGTTCAGGACATTACAAAACTAGAAAACACAACTTTTATTAGGTTCAGAGATATATGTGCTTACGACCAGTAAGTAGGGCTTCACAACTTCCGTGTTTTGTGCTCCCCTAATATGAACTCGTACACATGTATTTTGAACGTATTTACATGCTAGTAGTTATGGTAAAAAGAAAAAGAAAATAAAAAAAAACACTAGATAATCTTTGGCGGGATTT